ATGCAATTTTCGGACTTCGGTCCAATGCAGTGGGCAAGGCCCAATATATGTTTATATGTTGTCATATGGTATGTGGTAGTTTGGGGGAGCTCACTAAGCTTTGTGCTTACCGTTTCAGTTTTGGTTTCAGGTACTTCTGCAAGTAAAGGGAAGAGCTCGGGATGATGGCATCGCACACACCACTGCTTCAGCTTTATTCCTGGGAGTTTTGTTCAGATACTTAGATATGATTTGATACAGTTTTTGATATGAGATTTTTATGGCTTTTAAGATACCCGATGTATGGTTTTATTACATGACATTCAGTGTTATGACTTTTATTATTAATTAAAAACAAAAATTTTGGGTCGTATTTTTGGGATGCTTCACTGCCTCTCCAGAAAGCATTTGAAATTAAAGGCCTTTGGGTCCTTAGAAGGATTGTGGATTGGAGCTTCTGAAAGTTCTGTTAGATCTACTTTTATCCAGGAGCTAAATTCGTGAGTATCCTTGTAATACTCCGTTTTGACATGGTTCCTCTTCACCATCCACAGATTCAAGTCATCATGAAATCCCCACATTTTGATTCCCGATCGATTCCAAATTCTTCACCGAACCTTCGATTTTCAAGATCAGTTACAGTAAATTGAAGTTGGTCTGCACGATGGTTCTCATCAGAGTTCCACATGAAAAGCCATCCTTCTTTCTTCTCCATATTGACCTTTCTCTTAGCTTGGCTGATGCTGATTCAAGGGTTGACATGGGCAGGTTCATTTTCAAATCGATTGACAACCCTAGTGGTTCTGAGGGGTGGTGAATCCACGATGTTGTCATGTTGAGTAGTCAGGATAGAGGCACTGGAAAGACCTTCATGGTGATAGATTCATCTATTGTAAATTTGAACTTATCTCAAAACTCAGAGGCCAACTTGTTCTTCAAATCATAGTAGCACGCTGTCAATGCTCCAAGGTGAGTCTGGAGATCAGATATTTGCTTTGACTTCGATTCAATTTCCTTTTCAAGATCAGATGCTCGAATGGCGAGCTTTCCTATCAAAATATATTTCTCAATAATTGTTTCTTGTAATGCTCTGACATCTTCCTTGAGCTTTTAGACAAAAGGGTCCACTCCCCTAAGTTGTGTTCCTTAATTGATATTCCCTTTCTGCGAGGAGGAAGGCATGTTGCTTCTTGCTCAGCCAAGACCACTACAAGCCTCTCAGAGGCGATGCCGTGTGCGGGCCTTGGGACGGAGGAACCTCCAGGAGCTGAAGAGCTCCCGGATTCAAAAATGATACTAGGTCCTTCCTAAATTGATACAGTTGGAATGACAGCTAATGTTGCGGTTGCAGGTTGTGTCAGCGGGGCCTGCTCCTAAATAAGGACTCCTGGCCTCAGATCATGTCTTCTCTTTTTCAGCGGAGGCTGGGAGGTTTGAGTCAAAATTGGATCACTCACAGATGGCATAGATGTGGGAATAGCAACATGAAGGGGAGGAATCCTAGATGATGCATCCGTATCAATAAAAGTACCGAACATCTGTTCTGTAGAAGGAGGCATCGCTTCTTGAATGTCTTCAACTCCCCTATCTATGTTGCATGTTGATCAACTTCATTGATATTGTTAAAGAAGGAGTCAACGTCTTCATTTGATTGGAATTAATTGTTGTTTTCAAACTCAAAACTAAAATCTTCATTTAAACATGACACATTACCACCAAAAATATCATCATCATTACCAAAAGCCTCATCATCATCAAACGCATCATCATCATCATCATCATCATTGCTCGCATCTTCATCTTTATTGTAGTCACTTTGTACTTCCACTGATGTCAAATGATCATGTTCCACTGCCACGATTGCGACAGGAGGAACTCTTTATTCTTCATGATCAAAAACAATAATCACATCATCTTCTGTTTCCATATGTCCAGATGAACTTTCAGAGGCTGATACATCACCAACGTCAGCAAAATTTCCAACTTTCACCAACGGATGTTTTCCATGAAACATAAACCTCCCTTTTCAATTTTGCTTCATAAGCCTAAATGTGTTGGAGCCAAGGGATTTGACATCAAGTGTTTCTCCACTTCTTTCGATTTCTAGGTGTTTGATATTTAGGATCAATTGCAGAAACCCTGGGTACATGATAAATTTCTCCTTTTTCTTCCCTTCAACATTCCCCACCATTTCATCTAGAATGAATTTGGAGAAACTAAATTCCAGACCGATGACCAGAGCTGCGATTGCACCAGTATTGAGCAAGGGTATTTCATCAGCCCCAGCTCTCCGACCAGAAATGCAACTCACGAACATGTGAGCTAAGAATTTCCAGTATGGTGGTAGAAGCTTTTTTATGGTAGGAGGAAACACTCCTTCATAGCCCATCTGTTCAATGATAGTGTCTGTTTGATCCATTGAAATCTCAGTCGGAAAACTTTGTTGGTCATCAATTTGCAAAACCTCACGAATAATTTGTTTCGTCACTAAAATCTTCTTTCCTTTAAGAGTAGCATCTAAGGATACATAATCATCTTCACCTCTTTGCACAACAACATTGCTCCAAAATTCATTGGTTAAGCTTTGATAAATGATAGGTATGGATATGAGGGCATGAATGAGACAACACTTCTTCAATCCATGAACCATGGACTTGAACTTAGTGTGAGCTGCAGGTGGATCCACTACTAGAAAAATAGCCTTTTACGACGCGCAAACCACGACACTCATTAATCTATGTTACGCAAAAGAGAGTGACATTAAAAAAGTGACATCTCTTCAAAAAAATTTAAAGATTTAGGTCACGCATTATTGCGTGCCCTTAAATTAGTGTCTAATCCAAAAAAAACACGGAGGGCACCTCTAATAAAATACGTGTCGTCTATGGATGTCGCTTTATAAATTTTTTTGCAACGTGCGTTGCACCCCCTAATAAACAGGCGGGGGGAAAATGAAATCCTAAATAATTGAAAACCCCGCCTTTCTTTTTTCTCCTTTCCCTCTTGCCCTCCTTTCCCCTTTGCCCTAATTATCGACGCTCAAATGAAAAGGAACGACTAGACTCAAAGTTGAAATTGGTCGGAGAATACAGTCTACGATGTAAAGTTGAAAAAGAACAACTCAGAAAAATCTGTAATGCTGCGAGAATGCTTCTAACTCTTGAGGACAAAGATCCACGAAGAATCTTCGAAGGAGAACTCTCATGAGGACCATTATCTAGGGAAAACTTCATTGAATGCCGTCTTCCAACCCTCGTCTTCATTGAACAGACTATTTATTATCAAAAAATCACAGGGACCATTATCTAGGGCTTTTTTCAAGGAGTGCTTTGTGTAATGTTCTCTAGCTCGACTCTCCTCACCTGCAAGCGACCTCAACTCACCTCTTTCCACCGGAGACCTCAGGCTCACCTCACCTTACCGGAGACTGGAACGATTGCTCAAGTTTCTAAGCCCTAGGGCTGATTAAGGTATGTTTATCATGCTCTCGACACACCTCAACAACACCAATAAAACACATTCTTAGTCGTCGACTTACTCTGCTAACCAATGTTCTCCATATCGCCTACTTCTTGCCTTCCCATGGTTCGCTAATTAGTTCTGATTCGCCAAAGCTCATGACTCCATGTGAGTTCTTCCCTTTGTGTTTTATCTGAAGAAATTAGAAAATTTTATGATCAATGTTTATGATAATTACCTGATTTACCTAAATTGAAATCACTCTCCATAGACAAATGATTTGATCACAAAAAAAAAGTGAATTTGGAAAAAATTTTATTTGGCCACTCGTGAACCATGAGAGTAGGTAACCTGTTTGAATAAATGAATATGAGATGTTACTTTTAAAATTTCTGATTGCGAGAGAAAAAAGAAGAAACCTATAAAGCATGTAACCTAGTTTCATATGTAATTTCATTAAGTTATTTAGCATACCCAACTAATTGAGGGTTAAATGTTTGTTTTCATTACTATTAATCTATTGTTTCCATATGGATCGGGTAATCTATTGTTTCATGCATTTACCCTTTCATCATTTCCGATTTCCTTTTGCATTTTATATGCTTTTGAGATAATCTGCTATCAGACAAGATGTATGTCTGTTTGTGTCTGACCTATTAGTTTCCCACTAATACTGATTAGATGAGTAGGGTGACCTGTTATCATGTATGCTTGCCGCATAAAGTTGTATTTTGCCATGCTTGAGTAAGTTGCACCAATAGTTATTAAGCAAAAAGCTTGTAGTGGGTGATTTAGTTTGATTAGTTAGAGTTCACATGGTTATCAAAGTAGTTCGCTTTAGAGATTTGCTGGAGGCTGCTGTTGCTATATGCTAAACCCAGCAGCATATTGTTTGTTATAACTTCACTCAAAGTTTGACCTGAACTATTTTGCTAATGTTCTCATATATCTTTTTCTTAAATCATAATTTTCAGGGTCTATATTTTTGTGTTCCATTTCGTGAACAACTACTCAAATATTATGAGAAGGTTAAAAATCCAGATGTAGAAGAAAATCTCCTTACATGTTTGGCAGAACTGTTTACACAGGTATACATTTTTACTTGTAAATAAGCTTTTAATGGTAGTTATTCTTTTCTCTTAGTCACTTTATATTCTACACAATGGGCTTTTTTCCATAGCTGTAACCATTCCATATTTTTTAAGTTGCATTTTATTTTCCTCATGATTTATATTCACCATTTGGGTTACTTGTATCAAATTAGTACACAAAAGAAGAAAATAGGTGTTATTGCTCCAAAACGCTTTGTACAAAGAGTGAAGAAAGAAAATGAACTCTTCCGTGGTTACATGCATCAGGTATTATAATTATATTATATAATAAACCAACCTCTTACATCAAATATGAAAATCCATTTACACTTAATTTTTCTGATGATGTTTTGAGTTTTGTGTAGGATGCACATGAATTTTTGAACTTTTTGTTAAACGAACTAGTTGATATACTAGAGAAAGAAACAAAAGGTACAAAAGAACATTCATCACCTCCTGAAAAGATTCCCAATGGCATACATGTCCCTCTGGCCAATGGTGTTTAGAAAGGAGCCCTTGGTTACATGGGTTCACAAAAACTTTCAGGTATATTCATATCTTTATTATTATTCATTTTACTTAGCTTACCAATATCAAATATTAAACTCATCAATTGTCCTAATTTTTCCAATTTCAGGGTATACTCACAAACGAAACAAAGTGTTTAAGATGTGAGACTGTAACTGCAAGAGATGAGACACTCTTAGATCCGAGCCTTGATATTGAGCAAAACAATTCCATTACAAGTTGCCTAAAGAACTTCAGTTCCACAGAGACTTTAAATGCTGAGGATAAGTTTTTCTATGATAAGTGCTGCAGGTTTCTACTTTTATTTTTATTTTTTATTTTTTTGTAATAATGGTTTTTTTTTATGAAGGAAATGTAAAGATGTTTTGTTTTTTAGAGTTTACAGGAAGCACAGAAGAGGATGGAGATCAAGAAACAGCTGCATATTTTAGTGATACATGTCGCAAATATGCCAAATCTGAAAGGGTTATTTTCCATTATAATAGTCATGGTGTACCTAAACCAACTACCAATGGTGAAATTTGGTTTTTAACAGGGTAATTATATGTTTTTATTTTGCACTATCTTTCTATATTCATGCCTTGTATTCAATAGTTTCCCTAGACTAATTTCCTCTATTCTTGTCAAATGTTGTAGAGTTATACATGGTATATTCCATTGCCTATCAGTGACCTTGACTCATGGCTCAAGACTCCGTCCATATATGTTTCTGATTGTTCTGTTGCAGGGATGATTGCCAATGCCTTCATAGAGGTATTATTAACTATTTATTTCTTGACAACATTGTTATTATTGTTTGACTAAATGCTTGAATATCATTTATATGTATATAACTCCAGGATTGGACTCCCTCAAGTTCTTCTTTAGGAACTTCACCAAGAGACTGTATTCTACTTGCAGCATGTGAAGCACATGAAAAAGTCATGAGTTTCCTGTTGATGTCTTCATTTATTGCCTTACAACTCCCATCAAGATTGCCTTAAGATGGTTTTGCACTCGATCATTACTACATGAATCACTTGATTATTCACTTATAGACAGAATACCTGGGAGACAAACTGATCGTAAGAAACTTCTTGGTGAGTTGAACTGGAGATCTGCCTTTATTGATTATTCACTTGATTGTTCTCTTGTATCTTATCCAATGTTACCTCCAACTCATCAACACCATATGTGGTAATAAACACATGAACTTGTTTATGATGTTATAATTCTTGAATCTTGATTAATTTGGTTATGGTTTGACCACATGTCATTACAGGGATGCATGGGATATGGCTGCTGAAATCTGCCTTTCACTTGATTGTTCTCCTGTATTTTATTTTGGTTATGGTTTGACCACGTGTCATTACAGGGACGTACATCACTTAGAATTTTTCATTTTATTCATTTTTACATTATGAAAAATCTATGATTATGAGCATACTTCCATGTCTTGCTTGCTTTTCAGTTTTTTGGTGAGTTGTGCACAGTTTGATCTTGTGAAAGCATCTGGATTGGTTCCTCCTGTGATGCGATCATACAGTAATAATATTAATGGGGATTAGGATTTGACAGAAGGTAAATTGATGACATGACAACAGCAAATCCTAGGAAAGAAGGGTATCTTGGTCCGCTTGAGTATACTTCATATGCTGATTGCTACAAGCAAAAGTAAGCATTCAAGTCTTGTACCGTTTCGTTTCTAAACTGTTGCGATCCAAAAAAAAAACAGAGAGAGGAAAAACGGAATAACCATATATATATATATATATATTAAATTGTAATCCATAAAGTCAGAAAAGACACAGCCCCTTCCCTTCCTTTACTTCTTGTTCAATTTTCTTTATGTTGTACATTCCAGTAACTGATTTGTCATGCTGCAGGTTCTGTTTGAAGATTTGGGCAACTTTAAGCAGGTTAACTCTGCCATCTTCACATTTTATTTTCTCACAACATTTTGGCATTGAAATTTAACATTGGTGACATAATGCTCCAAGCAGTAATGATGTTCTTTATCACTCAGTATTATTGGCTAGCACTTTGTATCTCTTTCAAGCATGTATATCTTCATAGTGGATTTGAAAAGTTGTTTTTTACTCCATTAATTCCCACTTTTCTAGTCAATTAAATTTTAAAATGTGCTTACCATATTCACCAATGATGTTGCAATATTGGTGATATGTTGATAGCTAAATCTTCCAGTATTTCACTCTTTTCTATTTTCTTAACTCTCATAGCAACACAATGTTCTTATTATATATCATTTTGGAACAACTTTTTTTAGTACGTTCATGGGCTGGCAGCTCGATCAGTTCATTATTATCATCATCTAGGACCAATTCTACAAGACTCCGTGTTCTTCTTCCTGTATGTATAACTCAATGCTCGGATCTTTCTTTATTCATAAAACACATTATTTATGTCTCTAAAGTCCTAATGATCATATTTATAATTATGTTTATTTTTCATGAAAGAACTTGGGTAGGAAAGAGCATATGTCAGTGAGACATTATTCACCTTTGTCTTCCTTTCCTTTGTCCTGGTAATTATTCTTTCCATTTAATGTTTTGTAAGCTCTAATTACTTTGCATTTATGATTGTTATGTACATTCAGTTCCAATGGTTTTCTTTATTACTGACGGGGCTGTTGAAAATGAGAGAAAAATCTGTGAAGTTATAAAGAAACAACTAGAAAACAAAGGATCAAAATTGGCCCCATGTATTAACACATTTGGTATAGGTATTGCTTCGCATTATTATTCCCTCCTTTTACTATACATACTTATTTTATTTTTTTGATAGAGAAAATAAGCAGTTTGTTTTTAATTGTAAGTGTGATTGACATTGCGTTCTCCTTTAATTTTATTTCCACTTTTTCTTAGATCTGAAAGATTTTATAAGCTTGCATACCTTGTTGTTTCCTTGATTGTGCAGGATCATACTGCAATCATTACTTTTTGCGAATGCTTGCAATGATTGGCAAGGGTCATTATGATGCTTCTTACAATTCTGGTACATAGTTCATATGTGTTTCAAAACATTAAAATTTAAATGGAGGGGAAGCCAAGGAGTTTGTTCCTCTTCTTTTTGTGTTCTATTCTTTTACCCTTGGCTTCTAGTTATTTGTATTTGTTGTCATCTATTTTTATCTTTTTGACGCAATGCAACATGTTGCTGCTGAAGGCATAGCCTTGGTCCAACAGGCAGAAGATGCTGCAAGTAATAAGAAGGCAGAAAAGAGATTGCAGGTTGATCCTGCTACATGGCCAATAATGATCTTTAGGGTCTGCTAGAAAGATTGGAGATTGCAGTTAAGCTTCTATCTAATACTTCATGCTAAGGACTTGATGAATTTAAGCTAGCAATGTTTTACTTGATTTGGACATGAACCCTAAGATATCATATTTTGACATGGCTAGAAGCTTTGGAGGAAACAAGACTCAAGCAAAAGTAAACACATAGAGAGTTGTTGGCACATAGTAAGCCAGATAATGCAATTGTATATAAATGAGTTCATTTTTTTATAACATTTACTCACTATTGGAATAATTATTTGTATTTGACATATTAGTGAAATAAATTATCTTTGTTATTTATGGAATTTTATTTTGTATTATGAGATTTTTAATGTATTATTTAATTTGAAAATTAGTAAATCTATAAATAATATTTTTTTTAACATCTAAAATTATGATACGCAAAAATGTGTGTCATCTTCATTCATGACATGGCCTTTCTTGACAGGGACTTTCTTGATACGCATTGCGTGTCATTAACACGCGCGTCATAAGGTTATGACACGCGAATGCGTGTCGTCTTCCTTTATGATAGGGTCTTCCTTGATACGCATTGCGTGTCGTAAACGCGCATCGTAATTGCCCATCGTAAATGAGCGTCGTAAATGCGCGTCGTCTCTCTTTATGACCGGGCCTTCCTTGACGCGCATTTGCGCGTCATCTGAGCCTTTTACGACGCGCAATGAGCGTCGTAAAAAGCTGTTTTTCTAGTAGTGATCAACCAAGAAAATAGCCATGTTGTGAACATCATCGAATTTGAAGTCAGCCATTTTAACCTGCAATAGCGTAGCCAAGTGAGAAAACACATATGTTAATCAATAAACACCAAGTTTTCTAATTAATCGTGCAATTAGGCTTTTAATTTTGAATAAGAATTAGCAAAAATTGAATTTAAGGCAAAATTGGGGTTTACGGCTGTGGACGTCCAAACATGCCGAAAATCAATTTTTCCTCAACAAAGCCATTAAACATGGTCGACTTCTGATATATCTAGCATAAGGGTGATTGCCTTGATGATACCTACACGAATCAATGAACAATTTTGGATGAAAAACACAAATAAGGATGAATCGATGAACAGTGAAGAGAGAAGAGAGAATCTGAAAGTGTTCACGTACGCAAAGAGAAAAAGAGTGTAAAAAGTGTTTTTCATCCAAGAACTGGAGCATTTATACAAGGATCCAAACCCGTTCCACCACCCATGGGTTGCAACCCAAGATGCCTCAAATCCAAGCCCAACAAATCCAATTTAATTAAAATTACTTCATTTTGAAGACATCTTTACATGAATCATGTAGACAAATCATACACTTGACCTAACAGTAGAAATTAGGTCAGAGTCTCATAGGAACTTAAGTCAAAGTTGAAACTATGACTAGTATACTTGGTTCTTCAATTTCACTTAAATCTCGGAATCAATATATAGAAATACCAATAAACCGACAAAAACAAATTTCAATAATTATTCCTAATAAGAATAAGAGTTAGGAAACCCAAAAATAATTTGAAGTCTCAAATATTCATTTTATTTTGATATCCAAAGTTAGCAAAATCTGAAAACCCCTAAAAGCCCTAATAACTCAAATTTATAAGGTTTAACATCAAGAATTCTATAAAAATGATTATGAATCTTATAATATCACCTTAAAGTATCTAAAATTGGGAAAATATCATTAAGGAAAATCTAATAGAAGTCATTAACATTTAACCTTATTTTTATAAGTAAAAAATCAAAGTATTTTGAACCAATTTTTATTAAAGTGCATAATTTCATAAAAGTGGGGAATATTGTTAAAAACTCAAGGTTTAATATTTTAAATATTGTAAGAGAGAGGGAGCCTCTGTAAAATTTCGGCCACTCCCCTCCCTCCTCCCTCTTACTAAAAATTTGCACTCATTTTACTCACTGTTTCATTCTACATCTCTACTTTTCTCTCTCTAAAACTTCCCACTTTTTGTTCTCTAAAAATGATGAATGTAGAAGCAAATAACTGGGAGAAATTTTTACATTCGATTCTTCATGATTTCGCATACATCTCTGTATTTTGTTGGCAAATTTGGGTGGAGCGCAACCCCAAAGAGATGACGAGAAAGATTGGATATCCAGAGAGATGAAATCTCTCTTTTTCTCTCTTTTCTTCTTTCTAAAACCCCCATTCTTTCCCACTATGAATTAACTCCAAAACCCACGGAATTTCCAACAAATATCCCTCATTTTACTCAAGCATATTCATCATTTGAAGTTGGTCATCAAAGTAAAATCAGTTTCTTGACATTTTGTTCACTTTTCTTTAATAAAATCTCAAGTTTTCTTGCATTTTTCTCTGTCTTCTACACTTTTTTCAGATTATTCACATGCACGTTCACACATGTCGAATTTGATGAAGATGGTGGTAGGATTTCACCTTAAAACGACATGTATGTTGTTAGAAGGTGAAATCAAATGATCAAAACCTAAATCAAATCCATCAACTTGAGTTTTACAAGTTTTAAAGGTCGAAAACCACATGCATTCAAGTTTTTTGTCACACCCCCGAACCAGACGGCGGAAACGTCCGAGGGCTATCGTGACTCATTGAATACCATCACAATGCATATACATGAAACATAACATAAAACATCACCAACATTTGGAATAGTACAACCGATAGTGTTTACATCTGTTACATTGTTCAAACGTTACATTCTCAAAATAACTGTTCAACATCACTTAAACCACAGCAACATCATAGAGTATAAATCATCCGTCACCTTATCTGTTACCTGAGAATACAAGTATTTTGAAAAACGCGTCAACATACGAAATGTTGGTGAGTTCATAAGTAGAGTTTGAAATCCAATGTAATGTTTGAAACCCGTCAGAAAATCCGATATTTTCTAATAATAGAATAGTGTAAAAATATGTGTTGATCCATGAGTATGCATGTTTGAATTCTATAGATGTAAGCGTAAGAGTTGTGAAAAATTCGACCGTAATTCATAATTTGTAATTGTTGAAAACCCTAGGAAAACCCGACGTTTTCCTATCACTTTGTATTACTTAGTTTGTATACCGTTGTTTCGTTTCGTTAGAGGGAAATCGTTGAGTTCCGGAGGCATTGAGAATACAATGGGTGGTGAAGTGTTGTGACGTACGTTAATGAAAACGTCCAATCGACAACCTTACAAGCGATCCCTTAGGTGCCACTCGTAATTCTTCACACAACTCGATCCTCCCGGACTTGTGTAGTCCCACGACCGGAGGGAAGGAGAGAAGGTGCGAAACCCTC